AATCAAATTTGTCTTCTGCAATTACGGCATGTTGGGTCAGTCGTCTATGATTCACAAGTGTCTATCGATGCAACACCTTAGATTATGGTCGACCACTACCTAATATGTTGGTTTGTAGAATACTTTAAGATTATTATCTCCATTAGCTATAATATTTTGTCTTTTCTTTTATGTAAAGTTTATATAAATTTTTGTAATACTTCCAAAGAAAATGTGCAAGTTCATTTCTACCTGTTATGACCCTTGCTCCTCTAGAGAGGGAGTGAATTGTTGACTTAATGTAAGATTCTATATTCCATACTTTTTTTCTCATTATTACCTCATGAATGCTCAAATTTACATCATTCATAGATATAATGCAATGTGTGAAAAAAATACTTTCATGTATTATTTGACAGTGATAATGCTTATTTGTGTATCTAGTGAGGAGTCTTTATGAGATTTTTGAACTCATATTGTCATTTTTTCCCTGTTCTTTATTTTTAAATTCATCTTAATACATGTTCACATTTAATTTCTCTAATACATTTTGTATATAAAAATTCAATAACAAAATATGATTGATAAAATTGTGTTTATTATACATGGAGGGATGATGCAATTATTTTTCATTAATCATTTAAATAAGTTCCTTAGAGTTAAAACTTATAGGATTATATTTTCTAATGAATTAATATAACATTATTTTTGAGATGATTATAGTTTATCCCTTTTCCGAAACAGTAATCTGATTATAAATTTCATAATATAAGACGATAGACTAAACTACAATTATTATTTTATCATCAATTATTAGCATATAATTATAATTGTGGATGACTTGAGTGAGGCTAGTCAAATCTTAAGCTCAACCTGATCAATCATGATTTTAAATATTTTATTAATCAACAGTTCCTCTTTTGAAAAGTTATTTTTTTCAGTTATAGAGTTTGATATTAAATCATGTGATACATGACTTGGGTGTGTTTCTGTTTGAATTTTACTAATACTATACGGTTTTTTTACTTTTTAGTTTCACTCAAAGTGGAAACTCGACATTCATTGCTATTCTCAAGAAGAGACTTGGGTGTGTTTCTGTTTGAATTTTACTAATATTATACGGTTTTTTTACTTTTTAGTTTCACTCAAGATGGAAACTCGACATTCATTGCTATTCTCAAGAAGAATACCGGAATGTAATTTTTAGCAAAACTAAGATCATTGTTATTCTCTCTCTTATGTTTGAAATTAAAGCATTTTACAAGTTTCTCAATTCTTTATTTGTGGCATATCTATTTATACATCCTTTCATCTATAAAGCACGAACACGACATACACAACCCGATACGATGACATGGCATAATATTATAAAACCTCCGGCTTATGAAAATTAATTTTTAAAAATTAGATATTATGTGTTTCAAAAGAACTCATTCAACTTATCTATTAAAAACTAAAATTTCTATGATTACAAAGAGAAAATTACTAATACTTAACTATGAATATTATATGCATCTTAGATGCTCGATTTTGACGAATGATAGAGGGAGCTTCAACATAATGAGATATGAGATGGTTTCAACTATGAGGTATAATCAAGGCTCTATATATAATTATAATTTTCTAATTTATACGTCTCATATTTTTGAAATCGTGTTAAGCTTTTGATGTAGTGAGTGCTGAGTTGTCATGGGAATGTTTGGGCCAAAAAAAATTCTGACATACATTTTGTTGCGTCAAAGAAGTGTCAGGGCGTGCTGACAAACATTAGTGTCTAATACGTGTCTGCACGGGCACGACATATTTTTAGAAGTGTTGGTTCTACACGACTTTTTATAGTATATGTTGTTATTTTATTAGCATGCATAATTAATTTAAGGATGTTCTCTGAGTGTAATTTTTCTAATTCTTTAACTAATTAACTTAAATTTTTCTTATTGGTTTTTTGTTACTTTTTTAAATGTGAAGAAGTTTGATCTCATCGCCATCATTAAAGAGTTTATTCCAACTATTTATAATTATGTGAATCTTCTTTAAGCTGCATCTTTTTATTCATATTAATTTGTCTAATATTGTTAAATACAAATAATACAATCATTTGAATGTTTAGATGAGAGACACAAGGTAAGCGACTCACACCTTCCAATTGCGCGCCTTGGCTTAGGGCGTTAGATAGCTAGATCAAATCTTTATTTTGACTTTGATAATTTGAGAAAAGGTTTTTGTGAAACATTTGTTGGAATATTAAGGATTAACGTTAAGAAAGAAGTTCGATTAATTGTATGTGCCAAAACGTCAATTCATGGTTTAGACCATCAATTATGGTTTCATGATAAGTTTTATAATTTCTGAACAAAAAAGTAATTATTAAATTGTCAAATTTTTGTACTGTTGTCATAGGGAGATTGCTTTAGGCCATGCAAACTTCTTCAATAGATACACGTGATCTTCTTTGGTGCAATTTCTAACCCGAGTGATTGTTGTTGAATGTGAATAATGTCATTCGAATCACCTTAGAGAAAAGTTTGTCTTCACTATTAGTTGTTTCTACAATTGGCCATATATTGCAATCACTACTAATGAAGACTAGATAAACCAATGCTTACCTATTTGTGAAAAAATCTTTTTAATCCTACACCATTTTGATTGTTGCCCATTGCAACCGAATGTACATTCTATCTAATATAATCTTCACCTTAAGTTTCTTTGCATTTGAATACACATTTGTGGCCAAATTTTTTTTTTTTACTTTACCGAGTTAATCTATTGAATCGGAAGTCCCATTTTCTATAAAGACTCTTTATCTTTACCACTATTGTCGAATGTTGCTTTAATTCTCTCCCACTAATATCTTCCTCAAAATTGGATGGTTCTTAATTACAGGTGAACTCTACAGCTCTTAACGTAAGCAACATATGGGAACAAGAGAGATCCTCATATCTTACTCTCTAAGACTCTCTAATGTCTTTAAGCTTTGTGAGAAGCATTATTTTGGATGTGGTTTTAAAAAACATTCAATGCATAGGCACAATATATCATTTTATGATTGTTCATGCTTATCCTGAAAACTAGTGCATCTTTTCTACTTTCAAATCTTCTTTCAAATCATGATTCTGTGTCAATCCTTGCTAAAAATATTTAATTCATTTAATTTGACATCTGTGTTGATCAATATTCGTGATTGTGTTGTTATCAATGAACTTAACTTTTTAATCCTTTCACTCCATCTACATACCCAACAATGTTTGGTTTTACCTCCAACATAAAAAACAAACCCCACAATATTTTAATTTGAAATAATATCAAGACAATATTTGTATCAATTGACTACAAAAATAACAGCAGCAACAACAACAAGCCTTGTCCCAATAAGTGGGGTCACATTGATAAAACTTTTGTCTTTGAGTTTTCTTGTTTATATGCTCCTAGTTATGAAAATTAATTCCTTAACGTTTACAATCAAAGTTTTTATTATTTTCAGGAATATAATTGCAAGTGAATTCAAGGAAAAACAGCTCAAGTCTTTAACAGCTAATATCCATCATATGGAAGTGACAAATACTATTGTATGCAATTATGATGGAAAAGAGGTTAGTTTTATTGTCTGTACTAAATCAGGGAGGTCATTACAGACCTCATTTTTCACTTTGCTATTCTAAGATAGATTTTTTTTAAAGAATTTTCTGAGTACTGCTAAAGCATTGGAAGTATTGATGCTTATGATTAAGCAAATACAAGAGGTAGATTACTTATAGAGAAAATATTCTTAATTAAGAGAACTTCGGTTGAACAAAGACAGTCTAAAATAATTACAAATTTCTAATCAGATAAAATCACTATGATAAGAAAAGTTAATGTTAGTTTTATCTTCTAAACATCATATTATAGCAAAGTTTTGTTCTGATTTAGCCGCCCAGAATCTTGGGATTCAAATTTGTTGATAGGGTATTGTTAGATGCTCCATGCAATGGTACTGGGGTATTTAATAATAATTAAGAAAATAATACCAATTTATCAAAGATACATAGTTACACATATATATACATACATAGATACATAGTTACACATATATATACATACATAGATACATAGATACACATATATATACATATTTAGATACCTACTTCATTTTTCCTTTTACGTTATGCTTATAAAATTTTCAAATTACATGGCAAGCATTAGTTTTCAATCAATTCATATTTTGAATTGTACATCTCCTATTTGTAGAATTTTGATGCAATTTAAGGGGCCCGCATTCTATTAATAAAAGTATTTTGTATTATTTTCCCTTTATTTTTTCTTTTTGAATTTACCACACGTAATATTTTCTCGTGATTAAAGATATTTTTACGGTGAATTTATTAAATAACCAAGACAAACAGTATTCCTCCATTTAAAAGCTGAAACTTTTCAAGCCCAGATGATGCAAATCAAGGAGACTGATGTGCTTGTTTCATTTCCAGTAGAGGTTTTAGAATATTGTTTCTCTATATTATTTTCTTTTGATGATTTACATACAGACCACTCAATTATTATGTATTTAAATATCAAATATCTAAACATTTAATTTTTACATACAAACCACCTTATCTACGCATGATAAGGTGTATTTCACTGTTTAATAGTTCAAATTGTATTTAACTAGATGTCTAACATCTAAACTATCAATTATTATGATTATGTGAGTTATCTTTACACTGCAGCTGCATCAGCTGATGCCTTCGTTGCTAAGAAGTTAGGGAATAGTGTTGCAAATAATGATTGGGAGCTTAGAGATTTCTCTGCAAATTGGCCAAAGTTTGTAGACAAGATGAAAGGGCTAAAATAATAATAAATCAAAATATTATACTATCCATTAAGAAAATAATACCAATTTATATAGTATCAATTGGTAAATACATAAACAAAAAATGAAACGAATAAAATTTCCTCCAGTATACATTTAAAATTCCATTAAATGTTATCTTAAATTTACTTGAATATAAGAAATCAGCAAACAAAAGAAAATTTTACATATTTACCTCATCTGAAATGAAGTACGAAAAAAATGGGATTAGAGGGTGAAGCCCCGTATCATCAGACAAACTTGTCAATGCTTCATTGAAAATGGCAGGTTCAGACTCGCTGATGGTTGGCTCAGAGATCTTATCAAAGTATAGCTGAAAAACAAATGAATTATTATAATTACAAGCTTACCATAAGACCAATGTTTTGATACTTGATAAAATAATGAAGGAAGTTTTACAAACAATCCACATATTTCCCATGTAGTTACATATCTAACACCTAAACTTCAATTTTAACATAAATTACGCATAATTTCATAAGCCATTTGCAAAAAACCATCCAACGTAACTACATTTATGAAGCGATCACCATAAGATCCTACATGAAACAAAAGGCTGCAGCTATAATTCACGAAAATACAGTAAATAAACCAAAACAATAAACATGATCCCAAGAGACACCAAAGAAAATATCAAACTTCCAAAAGCAGAATCTCAAATCACAAATTGGCATCCAATAAAGAAGAAAATCAAAGAAAATCACCTGCTTATTGATTTCCACCCCAATAGCATTTTGTAACATTCTAAACTCTTCCAGTCCTTTCATGGTACAACTTGTGAGGCATACCTTTGCAATTTACATATGAAAGACCTGGGCACACACATATTTTCATAAAAGTTAAGTGATAAGCATATGGAAAATCAAAATGGGGTATAAGAATTCAAATTGGAGATGGGCTCAGCCTAGACTTTCATTTGTCACGATCCCACAGGCAACCGAAGTATCGAAGTCTATATATCAATATCAATCAAAAGTCACCACCAAATCATCCTAGAATCGAGAAATTCTAAACCCTGTCACTTAATTGATGAATGAACCTGTAAGTAGTATCTGAACTTTTAAACTAAAGGTGCAGTGTAACTATATATGGTATCTGATATGTAGTATCTGGTGTATAGTATCTTGTATGTAGTATATGGTGTGTAATATCTGGTGTGTAGTATCTGGTGTTAGTTCACAAATCTCTTAAGAAAGGGTTAGAACTACCAACGACTCAAAGGATGAAAAGGGCATCCTTATTTGATTATTGATTAAAATATTTTTGCTATAAAGAAGAGCTGAGAGTGATTTTTGCATCATCGCCCTTACTCCCTCAATTTCCAACTTATAGGCCATTTTGATATTCCACATGCATATCCACAACTTTATATTTCACATCAAGAAATTGGGAGAAATAAACCCCCAAATAGTTTTGTAACATCTAACTCCCACCTTTAAGTTCAGATTTTGAATGTACATTCATAGAAACATTTTATATTTCACAAACTTTACAAAAAAAAAA